GAACCAAAACAAGCTAACTATCAAATTTATGTCGATTTCAACCAAAACAATCCGGAATCGTCGAAAACAATTGAACAAACCTGAACGGTGTGGGATTGAATACTGAGAACTCGACCAGTCGCCGACGGCAGAGCTAACGAGAGAATTGGCGGCGTCATTTGCTGTTCCGGAAGGTCCGGAGAACTCAATTATTGATTCAATTCCACGAAACAAAATGCGTCAAACAAGAGATTGCTGCAGGAAAATGCGAGCTGAGAGAAACTTTCAACGAAGCGGAAGAAACTGAAACTGCAAGTTAATGCTCAACTGCAACAATAGAGGAAAATTGGGGAACGTAAATCAATTACGGTGGCCGGAAATTTATAGGAGAAAGAACCGATGTTAAAATTACGAAAATACCACTGCCCGATGCTCTGGTCGTCGAAATGCCGTGAAATTACGTGTGGGAACACCATCTATATTAAGATACTACTCGTCTGAATTTTTTAATTTAAAAAATTATAAATTTATTCTCAATTTTCAAATTTTTAAAATTTATTAAAGTTTTATAGTTTTTACTAAAAATAACTCCTTTTGTAATGAGAAAAATTTATAATTCATATAATTATCTTAATTTAATTCTATAATCTCGTAATTATTGAATATCTAAATTTTAAATTTTTGTAAAAAATTAAGATTCTTTTTTATTTTTTAAAATTCGATTTTGATGTATGTTTGAAAATCGTAACCTTAATAAACGTACTCCTTTATTCTAAGTCTCGAATTTCTAGAATTTAATTTAAGTTATTTGGAGATATAATTTTTTGAAATAATTTTTAAACCATTACTCATAGAAATTTATTAGCATATATATATATATTATTTTTATTTTATTTTTATTTTGTAATTTCTAAAGAATATTAGACCTGATGATGTTAATTTTTTTTTTTAAAAAAAAAAAAAGAAGAAGAAGAATTAACCTTTTGGGAATGGGTGTGGACTTTCCAGACAAGCCGCCCGAATGAAGCGGAAGAAATGGTCGGAGCAAGAAGAAGAAACGCTTCTTTCCAAATACTCGGAGCTTCTCAACTGTGGAACCCTAGCCAAGCTCAAGACTCGTGAGAAGAAGTTCAAGCCCATCGCTGACCATGTCAATTCCGTTCACCATATTCACGATCCTCTCAGCTTCCCCTTTCGCTGGTCATGGCGGGACGTCTCCATCAAGGTCCAGAACATGCGCCATCAATACCTAGGCGTCAAGCAGAAGATTAGGGTTTCCGATGACGATTTCAATTGGAAGGACGGTGAGAATCACTGGCAGAATTTCATGAAATACAAGGAGGTTTTCGGAGATTTCCCTCTCGATTTGAAGGGGAAGAGGCTGGTGTTTGGTAACGCCGCTGCTGTTGGTTTCGACGGCAGCGAGGATTCGGAATTCGGAATTGGCGTGGATTCTGATGATTTGGAGGAGGAAGAAGAGGAAGAGGAGGAGGAAGAGGATGAAGATCTGAAAGCGAAAGAACACGGCGGCGCGAAAGACGATGGCGGTGGTTGTGAGGGGGTGAAAGCTGTTGGAAACGAGGGGAAACGCAGCGGATTTGGCGAAATCGAGATATCGGAGACGAGAAAATCGAAGAAGGATTCTGGATTGAACAGGCGATTGGGAATGGTAGCGATGCGAGTTTTGGAATTGAGAGACATGGCAGCGAAGAGGGAAGAACAGAGAAGAGAGAGAGCATTCAGAAGGGAGAAAAACGAAGGTGAAAGAGAAGAAAAGATGAAGAACACAGAGCTGAAGAAGGAGAAACTGATAAACGAAAAGGAAGAACAATTGGACAACAGAGAGCTTGAGGTTGAAGAGAGAGAGCTTCAATGGCGGCAAAGAGAGTTTGAGAACAGAATGAGAATGGAAAGGGAATTCGAGGAAGAAAGAAGAAAGAGGCTGAGAATGGAAGAGAAAATGGAAGAAGAAGAGATGGAATGGAGAGAACGGATGGTAGAAATGCAGATCGAACATGAGAAACAGATGATGCAAATGCAAGCGGATGCGTTTCAGAATCAAATGCAGATTTTGGGGGTAATTGCAAGGCTTCTCTGCCAGTATTTTGGCTCTGCAAATGACGGATTGGGGGCTTTGCCATCTCAAGTTCTGCAGAACTTGCAACATCCTGGGGAATTGGATGACAACGGGAAGCCAGATGCCAATTCACCTTCTGAATTCTTGTGAAGGTAAAACATTACATAAACTTCCATTAACTGTGAATTGTTCTTTGCCGAGTTTCATGAAGTAGGATTTGTGAATTGTTCTTTGCTGGAGGGATTTTGTTATGTTTAGCCTATGATCTGTGTTAAGAGTATAATAGAAACTGAACCATGTTGAGACTATCTAGTATCGTCTTCGATTCTATCTATATTGCGTAAATCTTTATCCGGGTCGAGAGCGATTCATCGAAAACTTAGAAAGATAGAACTTTATTATAATTGTTGTTACTTTGTGCAACTATGAAAGAATGTTGGATGATGTGATACAATCTTAATCTTGAGCGTGTTATAGATAAATTGTGAGGTTGTCTTTTGAACTACATTTATAAGTCGAAGTTATTGAATACTTTATTTATGAGTTGTAGTTACGATTGAAATTTCTAAAGCTTCTAACTTCCAATCCCCAAAATCACATAAACAAGACGAAGTTAAATGATATCATGAATTTGCAGGTATTTCACCCATGTATTGCTAGGATCATCTTCATCTTCTCCATTTGGAGGACCCTACTAAGACTTTGTTGATATATATATATTTCTTTTTTCTTTTCTTTTCTTTTCTTTTTCTTTTTTTTTTTTTTTTTTTTTTTTTTTTTTTTTTTTTTTTTT